CACTTATTATACAAGTACGTGACACTGAAGCATGGCAACAAATGCGCTTAATTATCGCGTCTTCCCATTAGCAAACGTGTTTGAATTACAACGAGGCCACATAAATACAACATACAATCTGATTCCAAATAAGAGTATTTGTTCCTCTTATGTATGTGTAACATTTCATCGTCCCCGTCTTCAAGATCTGTCTTAATTAACCACTTCTCTGACATTCCTCGAGGCCTTCAACGGCTTAAATCTATTCACCTTCGTTCTCACCTAACCAGCTCGCGTACTATGTATTCGTTCGAGCAGGTAGATAAACATTCCTCCGGTCGTTCTCTCAATTTTCCTTTTCAATCAGTATCCCGTGTGACCCGATTTCTCATGATTGAATCAACCGCGAAATCTTCTGTTCATCGTTCAACCATCGTAGCGACTTACTCTCGCCGACGAATTGCTTTGATCGTCCACTTTAATTAACGACTCGGTGAATGCCGAGAGAAGGCACGTATCCCCGGATTTGAAAGCGTTGCTCATATTTTATACCGCCGTCGAATTTTCACCAGAGACAGTCCTTTGCTTATCCATTGTGTTAGAAAGTCGAAAAGTCAATATTGACGAACAATCAAAGTGCATTAATTGAAGAAGTAATTACATTTTAATCTCGGATTGATTTGTTACGAGGGAGCACGAATCTAATTTTATTTCTAAGAAATGTAGATCTCTTCCATGGAAGAAGAGGAACCAGGAATTAGTTTCCTAGGTTGGGCTTAAATGAGAACCGACTGACTTTCGATTGCGATTTAATCCCGTGTCTATAAGTAAATTCGCAGATCTGGTTAACAGATTTCGTGTACAGGACGTGCTTATCCGGATGGATTATTACCATATTGCTAAACAGGATCGGAGAGTATTTAAATCTTGGGTTTCATCGTATTCAGAGTGTGACCGTGCACCGTTTATTGTAATTGAGTTAAAGCTCCGTCAACGCGTGCGCTCTCATTGCCGAGATTAACGCAGCTTTAATTGCTCTTGGAAGTAAGCAAAGTCGGGCCTGCCGCGCGATCCGGTCTAATCTCCTTTCGTCCAGCTTAATTACCTTTCATTGAACCTGTGCGCGTATAACGATTTCGAACAAGCTGCGTAGAGATCTCAGCGAAAAATCGTTGGAATTTTGATTGCGAACAAACGTGGTTCTTAGAATTAACTGCGTTTCTTTAACATGAAGTAAGAGAAATACTGAACAAGCATGGAATGCGATAAGATTCCAATATCAGTCTGTGGCATCAGGAATCTTAAAAGTTTGCAAGTTTTAAATACCGTCGATGAATCTCACATTTTTACGTTATCTGCCACCTGGAACTGGTCACCGGTAATGATAATTCGCGTCGCGATCCTGACCCGGGCGCGCGGCCCATCGAGCGCGGAGATCAAGGCTGCGGAAGTGGTCCGCAGGTCTGCGGTGAAACTCGTCGAGCATTCGCGCGGCGAGCGTGAAATCCGCGCGCGGACGCGGCCCGTTTCGTGACTAGACAAAGAGAGAAAGCTACCGTGATTCGCTCACGCGTGCACTCAGGTGCGTGGAGCCAAGGTGAATGCGCCTTGAACGCCGCCGAGCACCTTCAGTCGTATCCTCTTCTTCATTCCATCAACACTGCAGACGGTGCATCCGCCGCGCCGGCTCGACGCGCTCGCGTGCTCCGTACTCGGGACGTTTGCCCGTTTCATGGATTCCCCTTCGATCGTGTCTTGCCTCTAGGAACGCTCGCGCCCACCGAGATATCCGCTCGAGACCAGCGGCCGGCCTCTGAAAGCGTGATTCAGCTTCAAGTTCTTTGTGCCGTCGGATTGTTTTATAGTTAGCGGAATCGAGGTCTTTTATCGAACGCGTGACTCGGAGAATGTCGACAAATGCGATTCGAAGGGACGGAAAGGAGGAAGGGTTGATGCATGAAACACACTGACGGTGTGAGTTAATGGTCCATCGATCGAGCTTCATAACATGCCAGTGCAGCTTCGGTAGTGCCGTCGGTAGTTCGTTGGACATGTTAAAAGTTTCCTGCTACTCGGAGAGTTAGTTGATAACTGACCTAGGGTCGCTAGCTCGATGAATATTGAGTGACGAGTTGATTCCTGGACACGCTCACGGACGACGGCTCTTGACTCGCATTACCGCATGGTGCATTCGCTTGCTGGTAATTAACGGCCTCGTTAGTTCGTCTACCTTTGGTGAAATATGCGTATGTTCATATAAACTCGTTTCGGAAATGATGATTAATATTACTTTCAGATGTTAAACGCCGCGAGTGTTTGAATTTTGAGAAAAGTGGACAGAATTGCTTGTAAATTCATAAAGGTGTTCTTAACTAATTTATTGGAAGTGATAGTGGTTTGCCAGTGCAATTCTCAAGAATAGGATTTTAAAATAATATATTTATTTGCTCAACGACGAGATATGGGAAAGAAGCTTTACCATGGTCGTCGTGGCTTCGTCGGCGACTACCGTAGTTGAGGATTATTCGAAAGATACCTTAGGAAGGTATGAAACGAGTTAAACGCCGTCGTTTTCTAAAACTAAAGTCATAGCTTTCAAATTATTGCCTCGTAACTTTTTTAAGTGTAGCCGTCTCATTTTCTTCGACGTCGTAACCACTCTATAACCCAGTCCTTTAGCTACAGATTTTAGCGTTG